TCCTGTGTCCGGGGGGGGGGGGGTCGGGTCCCTTTAAGCCCAGGTCTCAGATTGTGTGGCTGCTGCCTGAGGCTAAGTAACTACTGACCTGATGCCCTGCTGGACCTGGTTCTGGCCAGCCTTAAATGAGACTCAGTGTCCACTCAGTGTGGATGTGCTATTTCGAAATGCATTTTGTGTGTAGATGCGTTATTTTGAAATAACTTATTTTGAATTAACTATTTCGAAATAAGATATTTCGAAATAACACTGTAGTGTAGACATACCCTCTGAGAAAGGGGGGTGGGAGAGTCTGAGCTCCCGGACCTGGCACAAGCCAGAACTGAGCTGGGCTGCCTGTCCACCGAACTCTTAATACACTTGAAATGCAGAGCTGAAATGGGGATAGGTCTGGGACCCAGTGTGAGCTGGGACTGAGTTGGGCAATCTTCCTGCCCAGCTCCTAATACACTTTACATGCAGAGCCTCAGCAGGGGTAGGTCCCGGACTTGCTGCAAGCCAGGACTGAGCCAGGATGCTGGCCAACCTGCTAAAAATTTACTGGCAGAGAGAGGAGGAGAAGGAAATGCGTGTAGTCTATAGCATTAACCTACAAGCTTTTGCTTATCAGTTAACCGGTTAATCGACTATACTATTACATCCCTAGAAACAACTAGTTGAATCGCTACTTGACTAGTTGCTTACATCCCTACCCACATTACCAGTGGCAGCAGAGAGGCCAAGGAGGAAATAGGTAAAAAGAATGATCTAGTCTCCTCACTTTCATGGGATCTCAGGTGCTAACTCTATGGGTGTACCAACGGGGAAAAAAAAACCTGGGTGTTGAGCATGCAGGAGCAGCCCCACAGATCAGCTCCTCCCATCACCCTCCCACACATTCTGCCTGCCGCACGTCAGCTATTTAGCAGCATGCTGAAGGCAATGGAGTGGAAGGGAGAGAAGCCAGGGTCAGGTGTCCTCAGACGAGGGGTAGGAGTTTGGGGAAAGGAGTGGAGTGGCGCCAGGGCTCAGGGTGGAGCAGGGGTAAAGAACCTCCCAGCAACTCAAAAAGTTGGTGCCTATGCCCGCAGTGTAGCATTTAGTCACATTTGCATGCACTGCTGTCGATCTTATGACTTTTCTGTAGGTTATCAGAGGACTTCCATCTTCAGGGCTGTCAAATCAGCAGTAAATGTACTTTAACAGTAAGAAAAGAAAATGAATCTTTCTCATGAGTATTCAAAATATGGGCCATCTGCAAGAACCTTTATATTATATTTTGTCATATAAAAGATCCCATTTAGTCCAAAGACACCACTATCTGGAGTTGTTTGCAGCCCCTGAGGCATTTCCTTGGACTTTCTCAAATATATAAAGACTACTCTTTATGCCTCCAATTCTTTTCTCATTTCACCAGAAGATCTCTATTCTCTCAGTAGAGGCCCATCATATATATTTCTGTGTCAGAAATGAGGAAAATAAACCTCACAAATAGTTTTCCTATGTATGCAATTCTTACAAATTGGAGGAGTGTCACTCTCCAAAGTTCTTAATATATCTCATTTTTACAATACCCTTATTTTGTGTTATGCATTTAAATTCTATTAATGATTTAAAGTCCTCTTTTAAGAAGTAATATTATTGATTGTTGCTAATCCCAAGGGAAATTAGGAGCCTTTGCTGGCTATGCAGTAATGTGTCAGATGGTAACTACACTCTGGTCTGGCAACATCTGTGATCTTTCATTAGCGAGTCCTGGTCCACTGCGGAGGGTCGGGGGGCTGGGAGCCCAGTGATGCAGGGGTGTGTGTGATGTGCTTCCCAGCTAGGCTGAGGGGGTAAGGGGAACATGCGTTCAGCTCGGCTGGGCTGGGGCAGTGGGTGGGAGCTGGGAAGCTGGTAGCACACCTCAGCTGCTCGCCAGGGCCAGGGCCAGGGCCAGGGCCAGGGCCAGGGCCAGGGCCAGGGCCAGGAAAGAGCTGGGAAGCCTGGTGCATGGCTCCACTTGGCTGAGGGGGGGGTGTGGGAAATGGTGTATGGCCCAGCTGGGCTGTGAGAGGAATTGGGGTGGGAGACGGGAAGCCGGGGGAAGGGAGAAGGGACCGACAGGGAGGAGGTTAGAAATGACCTCCCCTGGTCTGGCAAAATCCCTCATCCAGGACCAGAAAGGTCCTGAGGGTGACGGACCAGGGAGGTCCAACCAGTATTTGTTATAGAAGTATGATTATAGATCCTTTGTTGATTTGCACATTGGTCTGATAATAATGTCCCATGACTTCTCTTGGGCCACTAAAACACAGGGATGTTAAATTTTGATTAATCAGCTAATTGAGTAATTGATGGAATTTCCATCGACTACTCTGTTAGTTGATAAGGGGGAGCTGGCGTGCTCGCTATCCTGTGCCTCTGCCTTTTAAATGTAGTAAGAGCCGCTCATGGGAAGTATAGGGACAGCACATGCACTTGTTCCCCGCATGCTGGATCTGACAGGGAGGTTTGGGTCTTTCTCCACCTGCTCCTCCCCCCTGCAGGAAGCCAGCGCTGGTGTTCCAATCTTGCAGGGTGCTGTAAGGCTGTAGCGCCAGCATTGGCTCCCTGCTGTGGGGGCAGTAGTGGGGAAGGGCTGAGTTGGGGCTCCAGAAGAGTTATATCTGGCTCCCTAGTGATCCATTCTTGGCTTGCAAGCCATAAATTGCTGACCTTTGGATTACAGTAAGTAAAATTGACTGAACCCATCTGCACTGAAGACTTTTAGCAAGTTTGTGACTAAGCTGAAGCATAACTAGCTGCTGGTGCAGTTCATGTGCATAAACCACATAGCTTAGACACCATTCCTGGTTGCCTATGTTCTGTTTATTGATTCCATCTGTATGCAGGGCTGTAGCATGAATGTCAAGCTGTAGCTGTACTCTTCTGTAGTCCCAACTACATAAATGGGGTTGCTGACAGGCTAGAAGATTAAATATAGGGGTAAGGCCAATATTGTAGCCTTTGCTCATTTGATGACTAATAATTGACTATAAGTGCAGTAGAAATAGAAAATGCTCAGCAGAGACTGCTGATATTTTACCATTGCTATGTTCTAACCATCAAGTCAAATGCATCAATGTGGCTGATGTGCATGCATTTGATACACAAAGGTCCTGTCAATCTTACAGCTGAAATAATGTAATCAACGAATGCCTCTGGAAATGGCTGTTCACAGCATGTTTTTCCTAAGCAGTGTGGCTAGATTTTTTTTCCTGCTATGTTATGAAACTCTTCTATAGACTTACCCCGGAGGGTATTGAATGAAATAGTCTATAGCAGAGCTTTGTAAAACAATTAAGAAAAAAATCCCTCTTCATCACAGTTACAGAAAACATACTAAATCCCTGCTTGCAGTAACTGTGTTTGAACTTTATTGTGTTCTTAACATAGTTTCAGCTGCCTGGTTGACGAAGCCAGATGGGTATTAGGCATGTAATCCTCAGACATACACTCACTTGTATGCTCTGCCCATGCTGGGAAACAAAGGCATCAAACATCATCTCTGCTTCCCCTGCCTCTGAATATGGTTGTGCTATGAGGGTAATAAGTATAACAAAGCACTGTAAATGACTACGGTCAGTCTATTGGGTATCAGCTCAATTTTCTCACAACTGCTGTTGAACAAATCTACATTCAGTGGAAAAACCTATCCAGTAGTTGATATGGAGCTATGTTAGATGTGAAAAGTGGTGGATTTTTATTTATGTAGAATTAAAATTATTTAAAAAAACCTATCCAAGGCTCTAGATGGCCAGCATATTAATTAATTATACAATACAATGAAATCTCTGCAGTATTAAAATAATAATTCCAACAGGAACTCAGCCTGCTCTACCACTACAGAGACTCCTACCCACTCCTGTATCTTAAGTGGGGATTATACCCAAAGTCCTTCCTAAGGAAGCAGATTCCAAAAGTGGAGTCCTTCAAATGAGAGACACAGCATATTGAGTCATAAACCAAAGCTGACAGTAAGCACCTCCCAACTGATTTTAGTATAAGAGTATAAGAGTGCGTATGTCCCAGATAATTCAGGGCTATGGGATTGTAATTCAAGGAGTTGGTGACAACTATTAGCATCAGGAAGCTAGTTAAAAACTATGAGCACAGGAGCTGCACTCATGCTGTGTCTCCCCACCCTGAAAGGAAGGTGTATCTGCAGTTAGCTAACTCATTTCTGGTCTTCCATATAGGTTAGGCTTGTTGGTTTGTTTTTATGACAATATGGAACAAATGGATGCCATTGTGGCAAAGGTTTTACTTCATCAAATGATGAAATGCAATCAGCTGAGAGGCTTCCAGGCTGAGGTCCATAAGGTGTGTATTTGTTCACTTGTGTGTGAACTCTCCTAGCTAATCTGCTTCCTTCCCTCCCTTTCAGGGGTGAAAGTAAATTTAAATGTCTTACAAGTACTGTCCTATCACGATCCCCCTCCCCCTTTTAGCCAGGGGGAAGGTTGTGATACAACAATACCTGTAAGAAATTTAAGTACAGGGTGGAGTGGGGGTTGGGGGGTGGCTCAGGGTTGGGATATGAGGGATGCAGAGTTAGGGCTAGAGGTGTGGGGGGTGCAGGAGTCAGGGTTGGGTGTATGAGGGTCTCAGGGCAGGGAGTGGGTTGTGTTTGGGGGTGTAGGAGGCAGGGCTGGGGGTGGGGAATAGAGTATGTGCAGGGGCCCTGAGGCCCAATTACCTTACATGGCTGTGGCCAATGCTGCAGCAGCCTGTCCCCTGTGGTTGGACAAAGGGATGAGCCAGGATTGCCACAGCTATATCGTGGCCAAATCTGTTGCCTCTCCTACTCCCACAATAGCAGGAGGGCTGCTGCCATCCCTTCCTGCGGCCAGAGGGGAGCTAAACCACAGGGCTTGCCCCAGGATTGGAGCCGGGGACAGGCTGTGTGGCCAGTTGAGGACTGGGCCCCAATCAGAGCCTTGTTGCCTGGGCTGCTGGGGCCAGAGCCTGGGCCTGGGCTGCCACCAGCAGAGCCAGGCACAGAGGCCTGCCCCAGGGGCAGGGTGTCTGGGGACAGACAGCGCTGGTCAAGTGAGGGCCAGAGCTGGGCCAACACGGCCAGATGGTGGCCCCTTTTAAATGAATAGAGTGTCCCTGTTAGCTCTTGCTGGAGCACAACAGAGCGGTGCACTGGGGCACATTGCCTTCATTTTACCTCTGCTCCCTTTTCTAGGATAAGTTTCTTCTTTAGAATCCAACAAGAAAAGAGTGACATATCCAAGAAATACATAAAGTACTTGAATAAGTAATGCAAAAGACAAAGGGCTTTTGATGCTTTTAACAGCATTTAATGAGAACCATCTTCATATTTATTTGCCATCTGTGGCTCTGTTTCAAGATTTCTGAGAAGTGGGTTCTTGCTAAGTGCTTGCTTCTGGTGCTGATGGTTAGTTAGAAAACCCCTGCTAGTATTTGGGTGACAATGGAAATTAGATGTTGGCAAACCTCCCTGCTTTTAAACACCACCTCATGCTCTGCATCTGTCTTTTCTTGATGTAGCTCAAAGCTCAGCTCCTAGACATTGCCATGCAAAACCAGACATTGAATGATACCCTTGGGTCTCTGTCTGATGCCGTGGTTGGATTGTCTTCAACTCAGCTGGACTCTTTGTCACCTGAAGCAGTGCATAATGCTATTTCAACATTAAACCAAGTCTCTGGATGGGCAAAAAGCCAAATTATGATTTTATCCAGCAAATACCTTACTTATGAAAAGGTACATTTGGGATTTCTCTGATAAAACCTGAAGACATTTGATAAAAACAAAGTGCAGCAATCTTTTTGTCAACTGGAACTGTTAATTTTGTAAAGTTTGGAATCTATAGAGTTTTACTGTATTTTCTTAGTACAAGATTTCTGTAATGATGCCATTGATCGAACTGGTCAGAAAATTCTGTTTAAGTAAATAGGAAAATATAGTGCCTACAATATAACTGGACTAGCGCTGTCAATTAGTGGACATTAAAGCCTGCAATTAACACAGGGCAGAATTAACCGTTAAAAAAATTAACTCGCATTAATCGCAGAGGTCGGCAAACCAGCATGATTAGAGACCGTCTCTGGTAAGGTGCAGTCATGCAAACTGCCACCAGAGGGCTTACAGAAAAATGAAGCAGCCAGAAGGGAGGGGGAAAAACTGAAGATGTGGTTCCAGCTCCAAAGGAGAAGTAAACAAGAAAAGTAAAGAACTTGACACCCGTTCCTCTCCCCTCCCAGGTGACCATATTTTTTAAAATAAACCATCCAGGGGTTGCCCAAGCTGTTCCCCCTTCCTCAGCAGGGCTCACCCAAACAACCCTCTCTTTGCCTCCTGGGGTTGGGACTGACCCTCTGCCCACATGTGATTCTGGGTCTGTCCCCCCTCCCAAATTCTGCACTGCCTATGATGGGATCTACCCCCACTCCTGCCCAGGGGCTGACCCCTCCCCTGAGCTTGGGGGCTGACCCCCCCACACATGAGCCCTATGCCGCCTGCAGTTGGGGGTTGAGCCCCCCCCCAAACTCTGCACTGCCCATGGCTGAGTCTACCTCCCTCTGGCCCTGTGCCACCTGCAGCTGTGGCTGAGCTAAATTGATTATATAGAAGAATTTAAGTTCAGCTTTCATGTCAGAATTTACACTACAATACTTCAGTGAGGTGAACTGAATTTTTTTTTCAGTGTAAATGTTTTGTAATAAAAAATAAATCTAAAGTGAGCACTATATACTTTGTATTCTGTGTTTTAATTGAAATAAATATATTAGAAGATGTAGAAGACATCCAAAAATATTTAAATCGATACTGTGCCTATTATTGTTTTACAGTGCGATTAATCACAATTAATTTTTTTAATCACTTGACAGCCCTAAACTAGACATAGAAAAAATGTGCAGTTTCAAGTCCACAATTTTACTTGTAGTTCTGAATTGCTGCCACAATTAGCTGAACTTTAAGACTTTTTTAAACTATTGCTGGAGATTCTACATTTCAAAGAATAGGCTGTTGAAAGGTGAATTTTACACAAATATATCACACATCTATTATTAATGGTTCTTAAATTTTACTTTGAAGATTTCTGCTATAACATGAATTGCAAAACTCCCCATTTTATTTCCTTTGCTCTCTCTATAGGTTTTATCATTTTATAATATTAGTCAAATGGGTGCTTTGGTGACAGGAATTAGTGCTCAATCATTCTACAACATGAACCCAAAGGAGCTCTCTCAAGTTATTAGAGGCACCTTATCCCAGTATGCTTCTGATTTATCGCCTGCACAACAACAAGGTATCCTCAGTAAGGTAATAGTAAATTCTTAACCCCTCTCCCTCTGCACCAAAATACAATGACCTTATATGCAGAACATGCTTTTTTAAAAAAATTCTCTCAATTACATGAGGATTTTGGCTGAATTGTTGACTGAAATAATTACCTCCTATTTGTATTCTGTTTTCCTTTCAAGCACCATATACACTTTAAAAGTTATGTATTTTACCCTCTGTTAATTTTAATTAATGAACTCTAACTCTTTACCTGCAACCTTTTTAAGGAATATTACATTTAATAATCTAGAAATAAACTCTTAAATCCCACATGCTGACTTTTTTCTTCTTTATTAGATGCTTACATCTAGAGATCTTTCTTCAGCAGTCACAGATATACAAGGAGCTTTTTTTAAAGAAGTATCTCTTTCTGATTTATGGAAGGAAACAGGTTTTAACTCTTCAATCATAAAAGAAAAGGAATTAAGAAAAAGCCAGGTAACGAGTAGCTATAGCATTTCCATTTCCACTGTGATTGATACCTATATAAATACAGTGAAACACTTCCAGACCTTTTAAAAACAAATTTTTAAGGGGGTTTCTCTTGTTTAGAATCCCAGGCCATGTTCCTCCAGTAGAAAAAAAAGGCGTCACTACTTTTGTTTTCCCTTCCTACTCCATTTTCAGAAGTGTGATCTGATGCTTACTGAAGAATGTGAAGAGAGTAGAGATAGAGAAGCATAAATTCAGGAGGAGACTGTAGAATACAGGTGGAAAGAAGGAATCAGTTCTAATACGCTTGGGTGATACCCACAACCAAAAGTCTCACTGACTCGGTCAGCATTATAAGGAATTTTTATATAAGAATAAATTGTTCTTTAAGATACTGAGCACAAGACTTGTTAGGATTTTGGCATGTGTTTCTTCTTCGTGCATGTTGTATAATTGCAAGAGGGTAGTTGCCGCAGCAACCAGCAATTCTAAAGGGCCTGGAGCTCCAGGTGCCACTGCTAAATCATCGCCTGAGCACTGCACAGTGCACTCGGGGCAGGTCTAAAGTCTGGGGAGGGGCTGCATCAAGGTGTGCTCCTGGCGGTGCAGGGGCCCTGGCCCTGCCCCTGCCCCTTCAACCGAGACCCCACCCCCTTCTGAGAGTACCCCTCCACCTTGCCCAGGGACCAGCGTGGTTATCAGCTCCCCCATTAATTGCCACTTGCATTGGAAACCAATCCTGTGGTCTATACATTGAGGTATCATGATCACTGTCTAACGTACATGCCATCACTTAAGTCAGTGACAAAGACTGTGAATAGGGATTGCAGGTCTGTGGCCTCACAATCATGTTCACAGCCTTTAAAATTCATAAGAAAGTATTTGCTTGAGCTAGCATACAAATTACCCAGGATGCACTGTCATGTATTTTTAATTTCAGGCCTTGTTTCTGTATGACTTATTGTCTAAGAAAATAACATATGAATACTTGCTTTGCTGTTTCACACCCACTGAAGAATGGCAGTGAAGCAACATTCTTCTATAACTTGCAAAATATTTTACCTTTATATAGCACTTTTCAGCTCATGGGACTCCAAAGTTCCTTAATCTTTCTCATAAAGAGGAGCTTTAAATATATATGAAAAGACACCCAAAGATCTTGATCAACATTTTTCAGTTTAGGCTCAGCTCTATTTGCTGATGATTTAAAGATTCATTCTCTTCTACTCAGCGCTGATTAGGCCTCGATTGGAGTATTGTGTTCAAGTTCTGGTAATCACATTTCAGGAAAGATGTGGATAAATTGGAGAAGGTCCAGAGAAGAGTAACAAAAATGATTACATATCTAGAAAACATGGCCTATAAGGGAAGACTGAAAGAATTGGGTTTGTTTAGTTTGGAAAAGAGAAGACTGAGAGGGGACATGATAGCAGCTTTCAAGTACCAAAAAGGGTGGTACAAGAAGAAAGGAGAAAAAATATTCTCCTTAATCTCTGATGATAGGACAAGAAGCAATGGGCTTAAACTGCAGCAAGGGAGATTTTGGTTGGACATTAGGAAAAACTTGTCAGGGTGGTTAAACACTGGAATAAATTGCCTAGGGAGGTTGTGGAATCTCCATCATTGGAGATATTTAAGAGCAGATTAGATAGACATCTGTCAAGGATGATCTAGATGGTGCTTGGTCCTACCATAAGGTCAGGGGACTGGACTTGATGACCTCTTAAGGTCCCTTCCAGTTCTAGTATTCTATGATTTACGATAAGAGTCTTTGAAGAGTCTTTGAACTGGATTGTGGCATATAGACATAGCTTCTTGATGAAGGAGAAGTAGAAATCCAGCCATCCTGGCAAGAACTCTGGAAAGCACTGTACCTGCAGTAGCCACAATGCTTCCCTGAGTTTGAGCACTAGAGAGGCATAGCTGTTGTGGCACCTTTGAAGCTGTAGTATCCATTGTTCCTGGCCACCTCTGCTGACCGGTGTGGGACCATGGTTCTTCTCCCTATCCCCAATATAGAAGATAGTGACACCAGTCCTATAAAGTTTTCCAAAGCAGAGATTTTCAATGCTACCTGGGGATTTTCATTAATGGAAATTGGGTGTCTAAATTTTCTGGGTAGCTTCCAGTTCTAGTAATCTGTGATTATCAGAGAAGGCCACAAATAGGCAGGGGGTGGGGACAAAGGCAGGGGCGGAGTAGACGGTGTCCAGAAGAGATTCTTTCTTGCTATTTGGTCTGTAGAATGAAAGAGGTGACTATTCTCTGCTGTGGGTCATGCTAAAAAATTCATGGGATCATGTGTTGTTCTCTTTATCAGTATAGGGCAGTTGGTGAAAGGAGTAACATGCCAGCAGATTGACCTTATGAGCACCGACTCTTTTCTAAATAATTTCAGATTCTTTGAAAAGAATCTGCAGTTGCTTTCTCCATATCAGGTAAAACTGGAAACATAATAGCATGTGCGTGTATATGTATGGTTTTCTGTATACATAGTCTAATACACAAACCGTAGGTGGATTACAGTAGGATGAATTCATAATTTTTTTTCAGTGAATTTCAAATCCTGTGTTAATTGTCCATTAACAGATTCAATTTTCACTAGTTCATGTGCTATTCAAGAATTAATCGGAGAATAATTTCTGGTGTTCATTCTTGATTAGTAATTAATTCATGAGTAATCTATTTAAAACTGATACAAACCCTAATATCACCCAAACATGGGCCTTTTCATCTCTGGCACTCAAGAAGAGAAAGCTACAAACAACTTTGTAGAAATTGTGAGCATGAGAAAACGCTCTGAAGATAGGCATAATTTTACATGTGCTAATTTAAAAAATGTAATAAATTAACCATATCTTCATTCTTCCTCAGAATTCGTAAGTGCCTAAGATTTTAAATATTTCGTTTCCAGGTTAACTGTTTGGCTTGGAAATTTTGGAAAGAGTCCAACACATCTATCCCTCCCTTCCTCTTATCAGTACTTCCGTAAGTTCCTCTTGTAATATGCATGGCAGTATGTTCCATTTAATCCTCATCAGCTTTTTTTTACTTAACTCTTTTACCACCAGAGAAATGGATAATTCAAGCAAATGATAGTTTTATATGTAAGTTACTGGTTCCAGCCAAGTTACCATTTGATGTATGGTCAGTGATTTGTATGAAATACGTCAATTTTAATGGTTCCAGTCACCTCATTAGAACCATCGCACTTGGAATTTATTGAAACATGTAGAATTTATAAAGACTGAATTGCCTTTTTTCCCTTTTCAAGTGGTCTCTTTCCAGGCAGGACTGAGGCACAGTGACAGGGTATTTTGTGGAAAGCTTTCGTTCTACCAGATCTGTAAATGAACAGAGGACTTAATTTTCAAGGCCTTTCAGTTCATCACCTTTTATAATTGACAAATTTCATGATTTTTTTTGTTGTTGTTTAAAGATACAGCTATTTTGTGATTGCCTAGCTTACCAAGTAAAGCTGGAGGAGCGGAGTGTAGTCAGTATGCCTCATGGAAACATTTGAAAATGATGTTTTTAAATTGAAATGGAGTTTTGTAACAATTTTTAAAAATATTTTTTAACTTTTCAAAACATTTCCTGCTGGGAACTCTCATTCTCTTTGTGGGTGTTGGGAAAAGGGGGGTGAAAATGTCAGTGGTTCATTTCTCCCTTCCTTCACCCTGCCTATGCAACTTTTATTAAAAAATATAATTTCTGAGTTAAATATATATTTTTTTGGTTGAAAGAAGGTTTTCTAGCAGGGAAAAACCTTTTGATAGAAATATTTGGATAAAGTCTCCTACCAGCCATGTCTGACAGAGACTCCCTTATGCTGCATTTTCTTCTGTTCCATCAAAATCATCTGATATATGCTGATGCTCTTGACTTCACAGTCACTGAGAGCACAGAAACATTTGGAGAGCCTGACTGGCATAGCTTTGGGATTTGATTCAATTCTAAAAGGCTGTCTGCCACTCGGATGGAAAACCACGTAACTTCGGTTTCATTTGGCAGCCCTTTTTTAGACCGTTGTAAATGAGACACATGTTCCAAAAATTTCTTATCAGTAATTCACCCACTGCATCTTGACTCAGTAGAGAGATGAGAAATGCTCCTCTCCATGGTAAATTTTTGAAGCTATATTTACTTTACAGTCCTTTAAAACTTGCCAACTGTTTTTGTGTTAACTGTTTACAAGAATGTTTTTTTTCCCTATAAAATATTCTGTTAATTTAGCTGTGTTGGTCATGCCTGCATTGGTAGTGCTGCTACTTGCATTTTATTTTATAGAATAAATTAAAACTATATTTGAGGAGTTCCTTTGAAAAAGATGACTTTGGAATGTATTCTGACTTTTTCATAATAGTTATTATGTAGAAAAGATTCTTAGCCCAGTTGTCTAGAAATAGCACAGAACACTGCCGACTGGATGTTGTTTGGTTTTTGCTCCAGCATAGGGAGAGTCTGGGAGCACTGCAGACTAGTGGTTCTCAAACTTTTCTCTGGGACCAGTCAGTGATGAGCAATTTGAGTCTCTAGGAGTATCATACACTACTGACAGTGTGATAGTGACAGGCTTGCTTTGCGCTCTACCATTCCCTCTGGCCAACCCAGAAATTTTTCAGATCCCTCATCCATTCTTTTAGGCTACGTCTACATTGGCCGCCTATTACGGAATAGGCATGCTAATGTAGAACTTTGGAAGAGGCAAATGCGCGGGGGATTTAAATATCCCCCGCGGCATTTGCATTTTCAATAAGCCGGTGAAAAGCGTCCAGACTGGCACGATCCTCTGGAATAAAGCCCTATTCCAGAGGATCTCTTATTCCTACTTGCAATAAGAGGAATAAGAGATCCTCCAGAATAGGGCTTTATTCCGGAGGATCGCGCCAGTCTGGACGCTTTTCTCCGGCTTATCTCCAAGCTGGAAAAAAGCGGCGGCCATGAAAATGCAAATGCCGCGGGGGATATTTAAATCCCCCGCGCATTTGCCTCTTCCAAAGTTCTACATTAGCATGCCTATTCCGTAATAGGCGGCCAATGTAGACACAGCCTTAGAGTATATAATGGAAAACTGGTAAAGAGAGCTTCCGTTGCAGAAATGTCCATAACTTTTATATTCACAGATTCGTCTTGCCAATTTCTAAATAAAATAAACAGGGAAATAAGTCATTGGACTTCAGCAACTCTCATTCCCTTTGGGATACAGAATGTCTGCCGTGCAATTAGACATCTGCAGCTACCCATGGTGGCTGACTTGAGCTGACCAGGAAAAGTTGACATGGTGACTTGGAGGCACATACACCTTGAAAATTCCCTTTTAGAAGCTAACAGTACATTAATCCCCTATTCTTTGTTTCTTGTTGACAAGAAGGCCAATATTTGAGTTATGGGGAGGGATTTTTGTTAAAGTAAATGTTCACAAGTACAGTGAACCTGCATCTAGACTTTGAGGAGAGGCTTCCAAAATACCTACAGGGATTAATTTACATTATGGAATAATGAGCTGCAGAAATTCAGTTCAGGATGAGATGCTGGCCTGTACAGATATGTACACACACAACTATTTTTGTGACCTTTCTTATGTTACTGAGGTAACCCCTCAAATGTTAGTGCTATAATGAGACAGCGGTCTAAGCTATAATGTTCAAATTGTGATCCAAACTTCTCCAAAGTTCATGAGTGTTTAAATCCAGGAGTTTGGTTTGGCCCATTCTAGAGAGCGGAACCAACCACCAAGTACAGATAAGATCTGAACTTCCTCAGTGTTGTGGAGAGAACCTATCTAGGAAGCTCAAATTCCACTCTAGGTTTAATCAAAATATTTCAAAAGAACCTACAACAATACGCCAAATCTTTACAGTGCTAAAGTCTAGCTTTACAACTAAGAATTGTTTTGTTTAATTCTGTCTCTAGTGCTCAGTATCTGGAATCCATTTCAGGCACTTTGTGTGTCCCTTTCCTGGTAAGTCTGGGGAAGACTGAACTAGATCTTCTGATTCCAAATCTGCATAAAAAGAATGCAGTCCTGCAGAAAGTACAAGAGTGTCTGGTAAGCATGATACTTTTCTTCTGGGTGGGGAAAAGGGGCAAGAAAACAAAAGCCACATCTGCAGTTACTCTAAATTGTGATGGCTTCTGCCTCACCAGGTAAAATAAGTGCTACTTTAACATTGCATAGGAAGTTCTGCATTGTGGCTTTGTCAGGTTTGTGGTTTTCACTATAATGCGATAGTTGTAATTTCCTATTATCTTTAATGTTATAATCCCAGGAATTGATAGAAACAACCATATTGAGACATGTTGGGACAAATGGTATGGCCTAACCATGTTATAATACTGTTTGTTCTTGTCTGTACTGGAATTTTTTAGGAAATTTCCTGTGGTGCAGCTTTATCTGTGACAGCAATTGTGGTAGAGCTAGAGTAGACATGACTCAGGGATAGTCCTGTAGACCTCAGGGTTAGATTATACAATGGTATATAGAGTCCAGCGGCTGTTCTATGCTAGTGCTTCCATCACTGCTAGCACTAAAGGTGGAAGATTTCTTGGAAATTCTTAGTATTGGATAACAAGTGGATAGAAAATAAATATTATAACCATTATAGAGAACCATGTGTTATCCTAGGCTTTCTTCCTGGTTTAAACATTGTTATCTATAATAAGATCTTATTGTTTCCTTGTGCTCTACCATCTGGTTTATCCTCCTGTTTTCTCTTGTTTTAGGCTTAGATTGCAAGCTGTTTCGGGCAGGGACTATCTTTTAATTCTGTGTTTGTACAGTGCCTAGCACAATGGGGTCCTGGGACATGACTGGACGTCCTAGACCCTACCACAATACAAGTAATTGTGAATAGCAATAACATCTTGGGGGAGTTGGATTTTTGTCCAATTCATTAGGAATGGGATATATGTTATAACAAGGCTAGGTCACAACTATCCCATAAATCATATTTATGCTTTCTTAGCTTTGTAGCATAGTAAGAACCTTTCTGACTCACACAGGTAAGGACTTCAGAATTGGGTCCATGTTTACATGTCCTGAAAGAGAAGCATTTATATTTAAGGAGTAAGCTAAATTACCTTGTAGAAATTCCCTTGGAACAAGCATGAGGGCTCCACTCTAGTCTTAGAACCAAGATAGTACAAAATATGCAAACCCCAGTGACAGATACTGGCTTAGCAGCCTGCCAGTTTGTTCAAAATGAAGGTCAGATAGCTGTGAAGGGCCAAAAATTCCTGCAACTCCCTAGTTTTTCAGAGTTGTTTTCGATATGGCTCAGGCAGATTATTGCTCATGCTGCTTTATAGTTTAAAGCTGTTTAGCTCAACAAATAAAATGCCATCATTCTGACGTAAAGCAAAATAAACCCTATATTTTCTGCTTGTTCCTCTCTGCTGTCACTATTTTTTTTCTTGGAAGGATTATCAGTATCTATTAAGCTGTGTGTTTGTCTAGACTGTATGTATACTTACATTCTCTACATCCCAATTATTTTTTTGATCTCCAGCCAAGATATAAACATTTCTTAAAAGTTGTATTCAATCTCCTGAATGGCCATAGTGGTCTCATGAAAAGCCATTGCCGCATGCATTGAGTTGGTGAGAACAGCACAAGCTTGGAAAGTTTTTGCATTGAGAAACATACCCTGTTTCTCCAACCTTTGCTAATCCTGAGCAGCTGTACGAGGCACAGGATGTTCCACAGGAAGAGGGAAATGGATGGTCTTTTCTCCCAGCATGCAGATTTGCATCAGCACTGTTCTGTGTTTGCTGCTGT